GGCTTTGTCAGTGCACTGATGTGTTCAAACTGAACGGTCGTGCCCTTTTTTAAGTCAGAACTTTAATCGATTTTTAGGTGATTGTTTGTGCTGTGATGTGTAAAACTATGATTGAAAAAAAAAAACAATATAAGCCTATATGTATTTATAGTCTTACGATTTTACCATCCAGTGCACCACATCTGTCACCGCCTATAGAAAAAGTAAGCGTGTGCCTATGCAGGCTCGTGCTCTGCTGTGACTTATGTGGGTCATTGATGCCCTACGGTACAGCGTGCCCCAGTCCTGCAGTGGAGGTGTGCTGATGTCAGGCTGCATTTACTGGGGTAAGATGATTAACCATGGATGCATTCTTGTTGTAATAACTGAGAAAATCCAGGGGGTAAAAAAAACTACCGGTCTAAGGAGGTCAATGAAAATTGCACAGTGATGAAAAAAAGGGCAGCAGGGGAGAATTCTGGGAAGAGCCTTAGCCTTGTATTGGGAACATGAGCTGAGAATATTGGCAAACATGAGTTGTGGCTCTTGTGTTTGACCTCAGGAAATTCTCTGTGCATTAGCATTTAGAAAACATTACCTGGTCCTTGATGGTAGCAGCTGATTCACATCTGCACACCCCTTCTTGAATAATACAGTAAGTTGTGGTTAATAGGTTTACCATCTTAAACTAGCTGAAATCAGAAACTCTTTTGTGACCCATCTGCCTGTGCACTGAAATTCTCCCCAGAACGTCATATCATATAATCACCCCAGCAAATATGAGTGTAAATTGAGCTCCATTCACTCATTTAATTATCTCCATCTGCTTTATTCCGTGAAGAATCACAGGGGATCGTTAACAAATCCTCACTGACATCGGCCAAAATTAGCAGCACACCTTGGAGAGATTCAGTCACTGAAGCACTGCCCTGTTCATCTCTGTAACTCAGGTGGCTGCTTTTCAAAAAGTGACCTGTCTGACCATTAGACATTTGCTACTTCTTCTATTACACTCCTCTGATTAGCAGAGTAGAACCAGAGACGGTTGGCATTGTGGTAGCAGGCCAACCTGATGGCAGTAGCACCATCACTTCCTCCTGACAGTTAATATACATGAGTATTGACACTTATTTTTTGTTATTGTTATTTGGAAGTGAAAATGGGGGTGAGAATATAGAGGCATGATTTAAAGCACATCCTGCATCCCAAATTGTCCCGGTGAACTGATGACCTTTTGCTGATGCAACAGTTCTGACTGCTGCTCTGCCTTAGAGCCAATAAATTCTGATTATATTGCAGAAAAAGAATCACTTTCACATTCAAGTGAAAACAGAGTTGTTTATTAAATGTTTCCAAAATAAACATTTTACAGTGAAAATTGATCTCCCTGGATCTGGTCCTTGACTTTTTTTTTTACCACTGCCCTGACGCTGCTAGAATGGTAGTTCTCATCATTGAAAGTGAGATTAGTAATAAAGGGTTTTGTCTCATCGCGCTAATGTGTGTGTGTGCGTACGTGTGTGTTTCCCCTCTTCATTGGTAATTGGAGGGGAGGGGACTGCTTTTCTCAGAAGCTGGGGAAAAAGGAAGGAAGTCCTCTCCAGTAACCACCACAGACACACACTGTGTCAAGTCGTGCTCCTGCAGGCAGTAGGTCTAGGAATAGCCTGTGACTCCTGTGCAGGAACACACCCACCATGTGAGGCCCGTCTATTATTTTTAAATTCACATCACATGCAGCGCCCACAGATTATGGGATGCACCACTATGACTAACATCATTGCCGCTGAAAATATTTTATTAGTGTGGGTGGCCGTAGGTTTTTTCGAGTATCTGAAATATAACTGTCTGTTATGATACACTTCACCTACTGTGAGGGTTCCACAAGACCATCCTTCTCTGTGGTCCAGCCCGATAAACAGGATGCTCACGCGTGAGTCCCGCCCAGCTCGGAGCTTCCTCCTCTGTAGATTCCCATGTTCAGACTGAAGTTTCCAACTGCATCTTGTCTTTCTCCTTTCTGTAGGAGATAATAGTAAAAGGTGTCAGCACTTTTTTAATACAAATGACCACAAAATCAGACTAAATGTGTTGTTTCCATCTGACAAAATAAATGTCTATTTTTGAACCATCATCACTCATGGTTGACATTTACATGGAGGAACATATGGCAGTAGTTAATAACTGTCACTGTACGTATGTTGTATGGATGACAGCGAGAGAAGAGGAGGAGGAGGCAGGGTAAATGGTGTGTGTGTGTGTGTGTTGGTGGATATGCATGTGTGGGAGAGATCTCCTTCCAACAAAAGGCCTAAAAATAGTACGAATCGGTCCATGTGACATATTGAGGCTAAAAGCTTGTGAATAATTTGTCTAATGCAACACAGACCCCCTTTTTCTAAGCACAGTCATGAAAAATATGTTCCCGCTGGTTAACTCTGCCAGACAGTGCAGTTGAAAACGAGGGTAACCAGTCTGTACAGTACAGTCGTCCCACATGGAAGTGCACATGGAATTGGATTCAATCAGTGATTATCCACCAATTACATGTGTTCGTGGTCTTTGATGTGCTTTTTGTACTTTTGTAATGTATAATCTAAACAAAAAAATGATCTCTTTTTTTAATAACTACATATTAGCATAGACATCACCTGGAGTAATATACTGATAATAATACACATGCCTATGTCTTTCTTTAGCGTGTCCTGGGGACTCGATGGTAACGATGACCCTTTTAAGACAGATAAAGACCTCCTTGATGATTCCATCCATGCACACTCCACTTGTTTCAAAAGTGAAATTTAATGAGTAGCAAGTCATGATGGAAAAATAATATCCAGAGGGCAGTTTTGAGCTTGGTGGAACATAATTGTATCAGCATCAAAGCTTGATGTTTTCTTTTTTTTTTAACCAAGATAATGTCCATTATTTTTCTATCTATCTATCTATCTATCTATCTATCTTTCTATCTATCTATCTATCTATCTAACTATCTATCTATCTATCTATCTATCTATCTACCTATCTATCTATCTATCTTTCTATCTATCTATCTATCTATCTATCTATCTATCTACCTGCCTCAGTGTTCTGTTCTCTGTTCTCTGCTCTTCACTTCACCACCATCTATTAACAGCTTTGGACAGAATGTGAGTTTTATTTGCTATTAAATAAGCATATTCCTGTTTGGCTCGTATAAATAGTCTTTCACTCATCATTAATCTTAAAAAGCCAGCACAAGCATTAATCAAAGAAATGTGAAATATTCAGATGTTAGTTTTATACAGTGATTTATAAGTATTACTATTATGGCTTCAAGCACAGTTGGATTTTTGGTATAACTGAGGTATCACATTAACAGTAATTGCCCCCTCTATATAAATACATAATAAATAAATATACTTGAAGTCTTTTTATTTTCACACTCAGCGTGACTCAGTTAGCTTTATATTCTTTACAAATCATCACATTTCACCCTCGTGGTCGACACGAGTTTTAATCAGCGTTTGACAATATTGTGACACACTTGGCATAAATCAGTGGAAACACAGCTATTGATTTCTCCGTTAACACGATTGTTTAACAGGGGAACGGTTGTAGGGCTTCACGTTGCGGGTGAAGATCTGCTAAAATCATTAAAATAAAATGAGTAAGTGACCTGACCTTAGCCCTGACCTCATCAGCTCATGGAGCCAACCTGGGGTGGGAACGTTAAACTCTGCTGAGTGTGTTGAATAATGGTGCTGGTTAGTAAAACTGGTCAACTGTGAAGAGGTGAATAATTAAATAGAGGTGTATTGATGTTCAGCTATTTTGTCTTTCTGTCCTACTGTATGTCTAGAGTAGTGTTTTTCAACATTGGGGTCGGAACCCCAAGACGGGTCGTCTGGAATTCACCCCATTTGAATTCCAGCTGAAATATCTAGTAATTGATTGGTAAAAAAAAGTACGTTATGTAAAAAATATGTTTTCAAATAATTATTTTTCTTTTTAAAATGATTCTTAAAAATCCCCACACAGTTTTAAATGATGTATTCTTTCACTTTCATGAATATAAATCAAGTTCAAATGCAGCATAGAGTGAGATGTATAGTATTTAATTGCAGCAGGTCAAGGAACCAGAGAAATATTCATACTGTGGCTCAGAAAGAAAGACATGTTGGTGTATCTTTTCAATAGATTCCAAACAAAAGAAAAATGTCAGGTAGAACTTGCCGCAAGCACGAGGGAAAAAAACAAACAAACAAAAACAAGAATAAATAATAGAAAGACAAAGTATCAGTCAGGCTGCTGGACGAAAAGAACCAGAATGACTGGAGGAGAATGAACAGCACATGCCAGCCTGGGGGAGGGTGGGGGGTTACAGAGGTGTAGGTAGACAGAGAGCAGGTGGATGTTTGGACAGAATGTCAAAAACAGCCTGGCTGACAGAAAGCCTGATAAGCAGCCTGACAGTCAGGTTTGGCAGGCATGAGATTAGCACATGAGCACAGGGCATGTAGGGGAGGAAGACAGATGGCTGAAATTAATACATGTAACTCAGAAACAGTGCGTACATAACATGAAAGTGACGCATGTGATATTGAGTTTGACAGAGAGAGAGATAGTTGCACTTACTGCCTATATAGACTTAGAGAACTTAAAAAATATTACTTAAACTGATATTCGTATTGATTCACTTTTTCAGGCACAGAAAAAAAATAACAATGCAGATGCTTCATTTTTCAAGACAATAATAAAAGTGTCATAAAAGTGCATGACACTTGCACATCTGTTTGACTCACCAGTGTGAACCACAAAAAAAATCACAAAATTAGAAAGTGATCTAACAATCTGATTAGAGAAATTAGAAGACAACATTCTAAATTAAATTGATAAACGTTAACACATCGTTTGTTGCTTAAAATGATCTTCAAGTAATTATTTTAGCCGATTTTTATTCACAGGTTGTATTTTTTTTTTTTTACTGTGACATTGTATCCTGTCAACTAAACAACATCTGTGATGTTCTCTGTTTCCAGGAAAACCCCAAAGCATCGAGAATTCGGAGCGGGTCCAGCTGTCGGGGACGTACAATGTTCGAAAAGGGAAGCTTCAGCTCCCAGTCAACCGCTGGACCAGGCGGCAGGTCATCCTTTGTGGCACCTGCCTGATAGTCTCTTCTGTGAGGGAGAGCCAGACCGGGAAGATGCACATCCTTCCTCTCATTGGAGGAAAAGTATGTAAAAATATCATCAGGCAGCGGGGCTTGGCTGCTGTTGCAGAGTCATTACTCTCCCTCATCTAGGGTTTATGTAATATACACTCTGGATGATAAACTCAATGTCACATCAGCAGTGAGCGCCCTGCCAAAGTCTTATTACCCTCTGTGAATGACTACTGGCGGGGAGGTTTGTCCTCGATGACATTTCACCCTCAACAACTGTTTGTCCTTTAGTTTCCACTTTCAGTCACCTTCCTCCTTTTCTGGCTTTAAGTGTGAACGATAATGTGAACAAACTGAAAATGTCTTTATCTTCCAAGCTAAAGTCATGATATGCCTCGCTATCTTTCGGCAGAGGGATTGTTACAGCCAGTAGATTTATTTACACTGTAAAAAAAGAAGAAAGTTTTACGGCTTTGTAAATCTGCACTGCTAGCGCTTCACATGTAAGAGCTCCTCTGAAAAGCTGTTTCCTCCTTTCAGCATGACACGGAGCGCTCACCACCACGCCTGATTTTTTAAAAAAAATTCTTTTGAATTTCTCACGCAACACATGACCTCTGGTCAGCCATTCATGCACGTGGTGCCTCTGCATGTGCCTGTATCCTGTGAGTCTTTCACAGAAAAACACACACACCGTAAACTTCTCAGCCATTCATTCACAGAGTCCATTGGCCCCGGAGTGGCTGTGTGTGACTTTGCGTGTCTAAAAAAGCAATTTCACATTCATACATTCCTCCTCATGTCATGCACATGTTCATTTTTACTATCATGCGTGCATCATGCATTTTCACATCTAGGCTTCTGCTCGACTGGGATCGTTTCCCCCGCAGCTCCGAGGCATCTTTGGTGTATCAGATCAAAAAGCTGATTCATACATGTTAAGGTTTAAGGTTCACTGTGTATTACGCTACAGGCACGTATTTATATTTAGAGGAGGAGGTCAGAGATGGCACTATTTCAAGTTCTAATGTCTCTCCTGTGTTTATGCATGTGTGTGTGTTCGCCGTAGGTGGAAGAGGTGAAGAAGCACAATCACTGCTTGGCCTTCAGCTCGGCAGGCCCTCAGAGTCAGACCTACTACGTCAGCTTTGACAGCTTCACGGAGCACCTGCGCTGGCACAGACATGCCGCCAAGGTACTGCAGATGTGGGCGCATGTGTGTGTGTGTGTGTTGCATTAGACAAGGGGAAAGACAGGACACAAGCATGTGTCCCCCAGTGATATTCTTCTGGGTCAGCTGCGTTGTACATTATGCATGACTGCAAGTATGAAATATGGCACTGTACTCACTGAGGTCCAACCAGCCGTATAAGTGGGTGTGGAAGTGCAGAAATACACCAGGAAGGAAGTAGAAAAGAGATGTGATGTCCCTGTAGTTATTGATATGCTAATAATGCGTTGATATAAATAAACAATAAAATGAAAACTGACCTGATTATAAAATTAGATTTCGGTCTCTTTGTGCTCCCTCTACTGTTGCCCCACTTCTTAAATGTCAGGTCTCTGAAGCGGTAGTGAGAGACTGTTGGATGCCTACGATGTGAACAAAGTTGCGCGCCAAAAATAATCACACACTTATAGATAAGCATCGCTTTTAAACGAATGGTTTTGGAAGTAGTTTAGGATCTACAAGAGAGACAGTGCTTTAGACCAAGGTGTGGCCATTTATCAGCTCTTGAGATAAAGTTGCACTGCAGTGTCACGACAGGCCTAATGGGTAGACAGCCAGATAAAGCCTGCTGCCAAGTATCAGAGAGCAACACACATAGGCCACAGTTGTCTCTCAGACTTTGTAAAAATCCAATAAAACCAAAATCTTTATTTGATAACGCACGCACTTACGTTCAAAGAATCATCATTAACTGTGTTCTATTTATGGAACAAAAAGTAGAAATTGACAGGTGTAGGGCCATGTCTACCTCTGGGTCATATCCCATATTTTCTTGATGTATGTATTTCGATGGTTTGATACAGTACATGACAGTACTAACTTGTTTTTTTTTTTTTTTTTTGCTGAGACATGACTTCGGAATCGTTCTTTGGAAAAAGGTTTTCTGTTCTGATATTGTATCACCTTGAAAGCTGTGCTCAGGCAGGTCACACCCATCTGCCTTGCACGGTATTATTTTTCTCTCTCGTGTGATTTCTCAGCTTCTAGCCGCCATCGCCGTTAAATAAAAATATAATATAGTATAAATAGAGTTATAGTAGTTAAGTGAAACAACTCTGTTTCAATATTTGTTTGAACTAAGGATGAGTTGACTAATGACTATTTCATTAGTCACTTTGGAAAATTAGTTGAGCATTTATATTATGTCAACAAAAATCCTCTTTTTTTATACTTCTTAGATATGACAATAAACTGCACATCTTTGAAGAAATGTTATTTCTGTATTTTAATGGAACTCTCCTTTAAGGACAACACACAGCACTAGCAGAGCAGAATAAAGAACGCCCAATTCACTGCCGGCCACTTTGTAGTTCACACACACACACAGAGAGAGACTCTCTTTCTCTCTTCCTCTTTCTCCCCCTCTCTCCTCTCTTTTGAACTCAACTAGGCCACTGCCAGAAACTCTCTTTTCTAAATATTAACAGGGACCCAGAGGGCCACTCAGAATAGGAGCCTGGAAAGTGGCTGTATGTGCCCCAGTGACGACGGCTGAGCCCGTGGCCAACTCCGGCTTGAACTGTTCAAGTTCACACAGAGTAGATGAAGGAGACGCGGACATTTAAATGCTGCTGTTTCGTTTTTATCGCGTCCTGTGTGCTCCTGGACATTTGACTGCCAAATAATGAGAGGTTAACTGCTCCAAACACCTGCAGTTAGATAAGAGGACGTGGTGTGCAGAGTTAGGCGGCTAACCTGCTCACTTCCCTTTGACTATCTTATCGTTGAAACGATTAGCTGTTGACTGACATTTGGCCCAAAAACACAGAAGGAAAGTTAATCCAATGAAACGTCCTCCTTCCTTTTTGTCTTTGTCACTAACCGTTTCCCTCCTCTTACTCTGCTTCCTGTCTGAACTCAGATGGTGTCCCAGAGAATACACTCGGTGGACCTGTCCTGCTGCAGCCTGGAGCAGCTTCCTACCAACCTCTTCTACAGCCATGACCTCACCCACCTTAATCTCAAACACAACTTCCTGCCAGCAGATGAGCGGCTGCAGCAGCTGCACAGGTACTGTGGTGTGTCTTCTCAGAAATACAGTGAACGTGTGAAGCTGAATCACAAAACATTGTAGTCAGTGGATTATGGAAAGAGGAGAGGTGGCTGAGTGTTTTCAACGAGCTGCTACGGGCAAGATGGGACATGAAGGTTGAGATCAGTCACACGTGAAGTGGACACGCTATGAGAAGCGTTAGGGAGAAAGACGAGACACAGGAAAGCTTAACTGCAAACAGAAGGCTGTAGCCGACGGCGCTGGACATCGTCGGCTTTTACCTACAAAACACGGGCCATTCGTCTGAGCGGCCGAGCCCACAGTAACCAAGGAGGGTTGGCCAGGGATGAGCTGTAGCAGACCGAGCCAAACATGCTCCGAGTCCAAAGGAGTAGACGCATCTGCAGGGAAGCTTTTAATGTCTTTGGCTTCCCTCACTTTTTCTCTGTAGGCACCATCTGCCGCTTGCTTATCATGGTCCCAGATTAAAGCCCACATGCATGTTGGAATTAGCATTTATATGTACACTGGTGCATACGGATGACTGTCTCAGCATCTTTTTTCTGAATATTATTGCAAGCAGGCTTCATACCGTTGAGTTGTGTCACTTGTGAAAATCTGATGTGTAAATCTGTGTTTGCCCAAGGAAGTGGTTTGCGGAGAGGGAGAGAGAATGAGAGGGAGAGAGACAGATGTGAAGGTTTGTAATGATTTCTGAGGAGACATGGTTTTCTTGAGAAACAGTCGGAGCTAAAAAATGAAGTCCTAGTATGTATCATGTGACATGGATCAGAGATGCTCTAGTTTCCACTGTAACCTACAACGGTTGACGTCAAAGGAGCTGAAGTCAAAACAGGACTTGTGGGAGCGGCCTTTGTGAATGAGGGTGTTTGTGTTTTGAACTGGAGCTTAGTGTGAGTCTGTGTGTGTTTCTGTACAAACACTGGTCCTTCGCTGACACACTGTACCACCTGCAGCGTTGGTGTTTCATATTTTCTCCAGGGCAGTAGATTGTGTGAACCTGCCACACTCCTTTCTGTCCTCTCCTCTCCTCTCCTCCGTTGGCCAGCTGGTGGCTGAACTGCCAATCAGATATGCAGAATCAGTTGTCCGGGATGCAAGCTTTTTCCTCTGGCATGGGAACGTTTTCCGGAAATGTTTCTCTGCCCCCAGACAGAGATCACCACTCGCATGCTAAGGGTTCCAGCTGACGTTCCGTGCATCTCATTGAATCTTTGCCCTGTTTATCTACATATTTATGAAAGTTCAGCGAGGAAAATCAGGAAGCGAGTGAGTCATGGAGGGGACAGAAGTCAGAGCGGTTACAGAAAGACAGAGATCGGAGATAAAGTGGGGCATCTGAGGCCATGTACTGTAAAGGGATTAAACTACATTAAGTATTATTTTTTTCGGCCTTCGGGGGCAGCAGCACAGGCTTTCAACAACACCAGTAGATGCATTATTATTGTATAATCAATACTGTCACTGTGTCCTTTGTAATAATGTTACTTTTATATAACAATGCACGGGTTTCATGTGCCGAGAACAAATACTGGAGACAGAGAACAAATGATATCGGAGATGAAGCCATCAAAGGAGAGAGAGAGAAGATAAAGAGTAAGACTGATCGTGAAGATGGGAGACGGAAAATTGAAACAAACGCCTGAAGCGTCTGACAAAAAATGTTTTTATTTCATTTCTTGCTGCATGTTTGGGATTTATCAGATTTAATTGAATAATGAGTAGAACATATCCATAAATCTCAGTTTATTAATCAAGGATTTAATCAGCTCCTAAATTAGTTTTCATTACTTACTGGTTCTGATTGCTTTAATGGCAGAAAATGAAATAAAAACCTTAAACGTATGCATTTTAAATAACAACATTATTGATGTGGGATATTCTTGGTTTTCATTTTGTCCTGATAAAATCCAGTAAATCCAGAGGCAGCTAACTCCAAACTCTTTTGATCCAGCTTTTCGGTCCAGCTGGCTTTAATGTGATTTCTGCTTCGGCCGTCTCTCTGCCAGCCGATGTTCATGTCCGACAAATGCAACTTCTTTGCGGATGAAAAGTGTAGATTGCAGACGGATCAATGAGAATGACATTTGAAGGCAGGACGATTGGAACTGTGAACCAGAATGGTGAAAGTAGACGTTAAATCGACGAGGAAGGCAGAGGAAAGGGATTAGAACACGAGGATAGAGTGACAGAGCATGACACACACACACACACACACACACACACACACACGGAGAGTCTGAGGGGGTATGAGCATTACTCAGCAGAATGCAGCGGGTGATTTGTGGTGAAAAGACATTTTCCCACACACCCCCAGCCACTGTCGGCAGGAGTCACCCTCAGCTGGAACTACTTGGCCACCCCAATCAATAGCGATGACATCTTGTTTGCTTCTTTTGCTCCATCAACATGATGAACGATGAGTGGGAATGTGTCTAAACGTGCGTGCGTGTGTGTGTGTGTGTGCGTGCGTGTACACTCAGGGAGAAAAATCTGACATCTTTCCAATTTAAGCACCTGCTACAGGCTGTGCTGCTAAAACGGTGTGCTGCCAATCTCTGGCTCGACAGAGCTGCTTTATCTCTGAGCGTGATAGGTGAAAGGTTGTGTGTCTGTGTGATTGTGTGTGTGTGTGGATGGGTAAATACAGATTTAGCATATCCTCCCCCCTTTCCTCTTCACTTCCTCGACCGTTCCTCCCCACTGAGGGTCTAACCCCTGTGAAGGTCATCCCTGTGTGTGGAACACCACAGTAAATGCCATTGGTAATCAGTGTTTGAAATAACAACACACACATCAATGCCGTCCTTATTTGTGCAGCAACAACTTCATGTGGAGACTTTTTTTTACTTGTAAAAGTTCACTGCAACATCTCAGTGAAAACTTACAATAATAAATGAATACCTATCTGCTGTGGTGTAAAATAATGTAAACAGAATAAAACAACATCTGCGATCTCTCCTCTCTTCTTCTTCTTCTTCTTCTTCTTCTTCTTCTTCTTCTTCTTCTTCTTCTTCTTCTTCTTCTTTTCTGTCCTTTCTTCCTTACCTTTTTATTCTCTCCTCTCATCCAGGTTTTCTCGTTTGCGGAGCCTCAATCTGTCCAACAACCACCTCGGTCAGTTCCCTCTGGCCATTTGTGACATCGTGACCCTGACAGAGGTCAACCTCAGCTGTAACTACCTGACATCTGTCCCCAGCTCTGTGGGAACCATGACTAAGTAAGTAACAACTTTTGATACAAATTTAAAGTGACGAGGACCAACAGCATCAACGTGTCCGGGTCAGATGGTAGAGAGAGTCCTATAAATATACTGTACATCTAGATTTAAAACACACGTTTAGTGTTTCTGCGTCAAGAAGTATCTATTTCATTTCTTTGGTTTTCATTTATGTTTTTGCCTCATCTCTTGATGGGTTGTGATATTGGTGATTACCCAACTTTTATTATTTTCGTTTCCTCAAGAGACCATTGCAGGGGAACTGGGTTGTTGCGTTTTTGCTGGTTGGAGTGCGAAACATTTACATAGCCAAATCTAACTTTACTTAACGACAAGCACATAAATAGACAGCTGCCAAAGTAAACACTAAAACTATTGGAACATGGTGTATAAAAAGAATCCTCTAAATCATCTGTTAATCTAACACACAGATATCTCCCCATATTATTAAGTACTGATGTCAGAGTGACATGTTTATCTTTAGAACTAAAAAAAATATTCTTTAATAATCTTGAAAAAAAAAATAGTCCCAGACACGGTGAATTCAAATTATTAAATGTTTACTTTCTTTGCTCGCAGAAGTTTGTACCTTCTTTTTCTTTTCTAAAAAGAAGTATTTTCTCAGTTCAGTTGACATCATCTATAATGAATTTCAGTTCAATTCCAAAACAATATTACACTCAAAACTGTTTAACTTTTGATTTAACCTCATTAAAACTTTTAAGTTTCTTTCTGCCTGGCCAATAATGATTTATTAGCACTAATTGAGGGCCATAAACTCAATTATTCACATATTTGAGAGCTACTGTGTTGCTATTGTAACTCATAAAACTGAGAGGATTTCTGTCATTTATCCTCGTCAGGGCTGACAGCTGGGTGGCCACACTTGCTTTAACGTGAAACTTCTTTATGGTTAAGAGAAAAAGTTAATTTGCCTGGTTTGTTGAACGTGCAAATTCCTGCAGTGGCCTGTAGGGCTCCTGTGGTGCCAGTGCCATCTACTGGATAGGAACTGCTGTAACGTCCAATGGTAAAGGCTGTACGAAATCTTTGGGGAAAAGTATTGTCTTGGTTTTTATTATTTTAATACTGTGGTATTCTGTCAGTTTGCAGTCGTTTCTGTTGGACGGAAACAGTCTGGAGGATCTCCCCAATGACCTGGGTTCTCTGCAGAGGCTGAGCTACTTCGGGCTGTCCTTTAACCAGTTCAACCACATTCCTCAAGTGCTGGAGCGTCTGACATCCATGGAGAAACTGTGCATGGCCGGAAACAACCTGGAAACACTGGTCCTGCAGAATTTCCGGCTGCTCCGAGTGAAACACATCGATTTAAGGTAGTCAAATACAAGGACATTCTCACAAGTACTGTATAACATAGAAAAAAGCCCAGTCAAACAGTAGACGCAGCGGTCAGGTTTCACTCTGACACCTCGACTGACTAATGATGGAAACAAAAATACTTCCAGCTGGACAGCGAGACAGCACGGAACAAGCAAATGATTTGCCTGCAGCGGTTCCAACAGGTGTTTTCCCTTTGTGTGAGAAAGAACAGAGTAGGAGTGACTTGCAGAATCCTCAGGTTAATACCTAACTTCTACCGACTCTGCTTAAACCAGGTCAGGAAGACTTTCTAGCAATTCTCCCTGAGGGTGCAAAGATCAGTTTTTTTTACCAAAAGAAATATGAACATAACACTAAAAAATATTTTTTTTAAATAATGTTTTTTGCAAATTCAAAATTAACATACTTTACTATGATTTTTGTGAAGAAATATTAAAAAATAATTCTAAACTCAAAACTTTAAAATGCTAAAAAGGTCATGCCATAAAATGTGAAATGTTTTAAGTTTGTTTTAAGCTCCATTCAGTGTATATTTTGTCTACACCTAATAAAAAAAAACATTTTTAGAGAAGAGAATAACTTCCATTTCCCCTGTTGCTTCAGCTGACATCATCTATAAAAAATCCCTCTATACTATACATCAGCCATGACCTGAGGCTTGTTCCACTCCTTAGAAGAAAGGCTGCGGGCTGTGCAGTACAATCTACTCTGGCCGGAGTTGAACCTCTGCATCCTCTCTGCCCTCTCTATCAGGCTGAATAAAATCTCCAGCATGGTGCCAGACGAGCCAGACCTGCTGAGGCACGTGACCCAGCTGGATGTGAGGGATAACAAACTGACTGAACTGGATGCCTCGGTCTTCCCCAGACTGGAGGTGCTGCACTGCGAGAGGAACTGCATCGGCCGACTTAGAGCCAAGGGCTGTCTGCTCAAAGGCATCTATGCCTCCAGCAACGGTGGGTCTGCACACGGGCTGCGAGAATGATCGAGACAGATCATCGTAACTTCCAGACTTTCCTCTAAATGGAAATGACGAACATGAATCAGTCTAGTAAAAAAACAGAGATCCTTCCACACAGAGACTGCACCACAGTCGCTTCGTCTCTCCCTCTAACATGTCACCCGCCCAAACTCTTCTCTCTGCATCCATCATCCTAGATGGCATCTGTCCTTGCTGTAGGTTAATGTATTTGGATCTTTCCCCACAGAGCTTTGTCAACTGGATATCAGTCCCGTGCCCTCCAATCTGAGCTGCATGGACATTTCGAGGTGAGCACAATCTGCAAATTACTTTAAAAGAAAAGGGAAAAACACATTGATTGTAAAAATGAGCCATAGCTGGTGTCCATTTATATGCACCGCAGTAGTGTTTGTACAAATGATGATTTCCATCTTACAAGAACTCATTACTGCGTCTAATGAAACACGCAATAAAATGTTCCTGGAGACGGTAATTTGAGCCCAGAGGTCTATCTGTTTAACCGAAGCAGCCGCTGACCCTCGATTAATACTTTGAATTTTAAGTGAACAATGAGTTTGTGTGCTCATGTACATTAAGTTAATTTGAAAAAGGTCATGTTTAGAGCAGTGTAGTTGTAGATGAGAGCAAGTAGAACAAATTCAAATACATTCTTAAATAATTCAAAAGTGTAAATAAATAAAAACGAGGACGTGAACTATGGGTGAAGTTCATTCATTTCAAGTACTCATTCAGGGAATGGTTTCAGGTGCAGCCACAGGTGAAGCTGCTGATGTTCAGCTCTTCAGTGTCTTGCTTTATAAGAAAAATTCCAGGATGTAAAATCCACATCAATCCAAATCACATCCTTCTCCTCCTGCAGGAACCACATGGAGTCACTGCCAGAATGGATGTGTGAGGCAAGGAAACTGGAAGTTCTGGACGTGAGCCACAATCTCATAACTGAGCTCCCAGCACGGTGAGACTCTTTTTCCCTATTTTAGACGACGTGTCTATATATGGAGTACAACGGTGGGTTACCCCTCCCCACCACTCCGCCATCATATCTCTTCAGATAGATCTTCATAAACCTCTCAGATCGCCTGTAACCTCCACAGTCTTCGTCTTTTCTCTGTCTCTTTGTGTAGCCACCTGGGAGGTCATCTCTTCCTCACTTTCTGTCTATTTTTTCCCTTTTTTTAATGCAGTGGTCTTCTCTGAGTCTGCAGATTTATTTTTACCCAATAAGTGTCAGGATGATGAATTTCAGCTGCAGGCTCCACTAGAGGCGCTGCTATTTTCTGAATACGCATCCTCGCCCCCATCCTCCTTCTGTCCTCCCATTTCCATGACTATTTTAGTCCATTTTAGTTACAGTGCATTCAAACCAGTGTCTGTCTGTCTGTTTATCCGTCTGTTTTTCTGTACAACACTTAACACAGCACTTCGTTTGTCGTTTGTTTTCTCGCTCCATCATCTTTATGTTTCCCTTTACTGCAGGTTGTTCTGCAGCAACAGTCTGAGGAAGCTGAGTGCAGGTCATAACCAGTTGCAGAAGTTACCTGAAAGAGTGGAGCGCCCTCTGTTGGAGGTTTTGGACGTACAGCACAATCAACTGGTGGAGCTGCCATGCAACCTGTTCCTCAAATCTGACAGGTAGAATCAATCATCAGTTGGTATTATTATTATTTTTTTTTTATCAGAGAGTGCATTAATAACTGACTGAAAGGTTGAACATAGAAATATGCAGGTCCAGGAAATGAAGGGCAGAAATTATAGACAGGAATTTTAAACTGACAGCAGGCAAAACGCTCAAGGACAGAGGAGACAGGCGCATATAAAACCACAGCCGTTTCAAGGACGGAAGAAGGCGGAGTTTGGAGGGGAATATTAAAGTGGGGCAGTTGGAATTCAAGTCACTCGTTTGGAGGGGAATATTAAAGTGGGGCATTTGGAATTCAAGTCACTCATTGTGTTTTTAATTATCACTCGTACAAGAAAGAAAAAGGGGTCTCTATCTTTTTTCCCCCCTCATGTGCAGTTTGCGATGCGTAAACGCATCAGCCAACAAGCTGGAGCACCTGCCACCTTCCAGCCTTTCAGAGGAGAGTCACAGCATCCTACAGGAGTTCTACCTCACCAATAACCGACTGACAGACAAGTGTGTGCCCATGCTGACTGGTCATTCACACCTACGAATTCTGCACATGGCCTACAACCATCTGCAGACCTTCCCTGCCAGGTATGTAGTCCCTGGAATGTCCCTGGAGTGTGTCAAACACTTTACGTATCTTTTCATATACAAACACTCCACCTATATATATATATATATATATATATATATATATTTTTTTGCTTTCATACCTTTTCAGTAAAATGGCAAAGTTGGAGGAGCTGGAGGAAGTGGACCTGAGTGGGAACATGCTGAAGACGGTGCCCACCACCATCATGAACTGTCGGCGAATGCACACACTCGTAGCCCATTCCAATGCCATCGAGGTCTTCCCTGAGGTCATGCAGCTGATGGAAATGAAGGTAAGCCTAAACGCGATGACACGTCTTCGTCAGCCTCTCTCCTTTTATGCCTCTGCTATCAATTAAGTATCGATACGCTTCGGCTTTTCTCCACAGTGTGTGGACCTGAGCTGCAATGAGCTGAGCGAGATCACACTTCCAGAAAACCTGCCCCCCAAGCTGCAGGAGCTGGATCTGACTGGAAACCCTCGTCTGAATCTGGACCACAAGACCCTGGAGCAGCTCAAGTATGAGACCGCATTAATGTAGGACAGAAGTAGATCTTTTAGAACAACTATAACAGGGATCTGCAACCTCTGGCTGCTGAGCTGCATGCTGCCCTTTGACCTCTTTGAGTCAGCTCCCTGCAGGATAATATTTGGTGTTTGTGAAGGGACCAAAATGAATTAAAAACATACATAACTGAAATGTTAAATGACCATTTTTACAAATAGATAACACACAGTCGGCTGTAACGTTTTACAAAAATCAATAAAATAAATAGTAATTTAACACATAGCGTAGCCCTGTGCTGTAGGTTGTTAAAACATACATAACTGAAATGTTAAATGGCCATTTTTACAAATAGATATAGATATAGATAGATATATGCATCTTTACAAGTCACGTCCTATTACAGTGTGTCTGAGCTCTTTATGTTTACGTGTTTCTCAGTAATATCCGCTGCTTCCGCATCGATCCACCCCCAACCTTCTCATCGAATGAGGCCTCTGGTGGGCCTACTGTGTGGAGCCATGGTTACACCGAAGCCTCTGGCGTCAAGAACAAGTGAGTTCTCTTCAGTCAACGATAGGGAAAAAATAATAAATCAATTTCTCTCACACTCATCCAGAAGCCTCACTAATTTGAACCTATTGAACAGGGCTATACTGATTGGTGAATCAATTTGAAGACAGGCAGCAGAATAAAAGCTGCTGTCATTGAAAGCATGGATTATATTTACAGACCACCGAGTCGATTGTACATGTTTATCCCACTTTCGTGCATATACAGTATGGCTGAGGTTGTCAATAGAACCACAGATACAATGGGGAATTCATATTCTAATAAATATGTAAAAAAAAAGAAAGAAAACTGGAACAAGCAGTAAACAACAGTTTCTGATCCGTCTGTGATTCTTCTTCCAGACTCTGCGTTGCAGCACTTTCAGTGAACAGCTTCTGTGGAAGTCGTGAAGCTCTGTACGGCGTGTTTGACGGAGACAGGAACGTGGAGGTGCCCTACCTTTTACAGTGCACGATGAACGACGTGCTGGCTGAGGAAATACACAAGACCAAGAGCGAGCAAGAATACATGACCAACACCTTCCTCGTCATGCAAAGGTACATCGTTCATCGCTCATATATACAGCATATATATTCGTGAATAGATGGTATCAAACCTGAAGACACCTAGTGGCAGATAGGAGACCTACCTCCTGTCCACTCCAGCCCACTAAGCATTAGCTACAAAATTGTGCATTTTAACTTTTATAGCTCAAAAATGCCTAACTTCATAAACATGTTGCTGTGAGTATTTTGCCTTTTTTAACATTATGTTATACTCCATATCAAACAGCAGCTCTTGCTTCTGTGTCATCTGCAGGAAACTGGGGACTGCTGGTCAAAAACTGGGCGGCTCAGCAGCACTGTGTCACATTCGCCATGACCCCACTGACCCCAGTGGCTGCTTCACACTCACAGCAGCCAACGTGGGCAAGTGCCAGGTAATCTTGTGTCGTGACGGGAAGCCAATGTCGCTGTCTCTGCTTCACAATGTAGGACTGGAGGAGGAGTACCGCAGGATACGACAGCACCGGGCCATAATCACCGAGGTAAACGTGGTAACTGAGGGTCAGTGAAGGTCAATGTCTGGTGTATAACTACAAGCACTGTGCTGACATCCACGCTCTGTTCTACAGGACAACAAGGTGAATGGCGTCACTGACTCGACACGAATCATGGGCTACTCCTTCCTCTACCCATCTGTCATCCCGTGTCCCTTCGTGCAGACAGTTACACTGACGTCCCAGGACGAGTTTTTCATAGTTGGCAGCCGCGGCCTGTGGGATATGATGTCTCCAACTGAGGCTGTGGAAGCTGTTCGAAATGTCCCAGATGGCCTAGCTGCTGCTAAGAAGCTGTGCACACTGGCGCAGGGATACGGCTGCACTGACAGCCTCAGCGCTGTCGTGGTCCAGCTCAGTGTGAGTGAAGACTGCTGCTCTTGCTGCTCCTGCTCCGAGCCGTCACAGCCTCCGCCCAGCCCCGGCTTAGGCACTTATCCGTCATCGTCCTCTGCCATCAAGGAGCGTCCTTCAGACGGCTCCCTGCCCGTGCCGCCTTCATCCTGCAGTGAGATCAGCAGTGAGATCAGCACCAGTGAGATGAGCAGTGAAGTGGGCTCCACTGCGTCGTCTGATGAACCTCCACAAAGCACTTTGGTGCTGCTGCACGACCAGCCCCACCATCCTCACCTGCACCTGCACCATCAGGCCCACTCCCTGTCCCTGCAGCACCAGCAGGCTCACTCCACCACCCCCCACTGTCAGTACCTGTTCCCCAGCTCAGAGCTGCCTTCTGCCCGCAGCTGCTGTGCTCTTCATCCTGCCTGCTTGGCAGGTTCCTTCCAGAGACAACTGTCCAGTGCCACCTTCTCCAGTGGGCTGGACAGTGAAGATGAGGAGCCAATCGCTGGTGTTTTTTCAAACGGCAGTCGTGTGGAAGTCGAGGCAGATATTCACTGCCTCAGGGCAGAACTCTCCAGCTCCTCCTGCTCATCGCTGCAAACATCATTGCAACCTTCCAACTGCCAGGAGCGCAACCTGTTGACCATTCCACCACCTCCACCACCCTGTACCCCAGAGCCTGTTGATGAAGGTGTGGACATGAGTCTCTGTGAAACTGAGAATGGGCTAGAAAGGGAGGATTCCTGGTCGGGAGGAGGAGTTGGAGATGGAGGAAAGACATCTGGAAAGAAGAGAGTCAACGGGTCAGTGGCACGTCAGGAAAAGAGTCACAACATCATCGAAGTGGCTGCTGACGCTCCCTCAAAGAAACCCGGCGGCTACTTCACAGCGCCAGCCCAACCTGACCCGGACGATCAGTTTATCATCCCTCCAGAGCTGGAGGAGGAGGTGAAGGAAATCATGAAGCAGCATCAGCAGAAACAACAGAAGCCTCCAGGGACGGATCAGCCCATCAACTACTACGACACTCCTCTGTGAGATGACACCTCATCTTTCAGCCTCGTCCATCCTCCAGTGGTGGCTGCAGCATTCACTTAAATCTACATCCTGCAGTTTGACCTTATCGCGAAGAAAATGTGTTTCTCACACATGACAGCCTCTCAGCTGCCTTATCCTCTCCTTGAAGAACTGTGCACTGTCAGCGCTTCACCACTTTTTACCCAAACTGGTAGAATCCAACAAGCAAACGAGCCCTTTAATAAAACTGAGCTCCTTTGAAAGGCTAATGGACGCAGCTCCTGATGTCCACGGCCCAGCCCTTGTCACTGACTGTACTGAGTTTTTTTTTATTTTGTATTTGAGACAACCAGCTTAGTATCTTATTGACACCAGTCTCAAAAGCATTGGTTTGCCACAAACACATGTTAATATTGATAGAAATTTCCTGGTTTGTTAATTTGTTTTGTAAGAATTTAACCATATCTTTTGATGGGAAAGCCACTGAGTCGTTGAACTTTTTTTTTTTAAAACTTGAGACATGTAATCTTTTTGTTATTGTTTAGCTATGTTGAACGGTACACTAGTAATACCACACTCTAACTGTTGTAGATAGGGCACTTAAAATACTGTATTTCTTCAGTAAATCATGTCTCTTTGCCCGTAAAAAGGCATTAAAAAAGATTTTGTAGAAATTTAAAATACTAACTCCTAGGAGTTGCACAGTCTTTATGGTGACTCAGTCACTTACTTACTAATCTTCTCTGAGAGAAATTGTGATTTTTTTAAATGATTGTAAATAAGAGAAATGTTATATACAAATGCTTTTAAAGGAACTGTGTACCTGTGTGTCAGTGATCGTTTCCATGGTGGGGAGGATGATTTTATCCTAAAAAGTAGAACTACAAAAATACAAACACACAAACACAACACATATGTTCATGTGCTAATACAACTCCAACATTCCATTCATTGTATGTAATGAACACTACTGAACATATCGTTGCATGCATACACATACAATACATCCACACAAACACACTTCAATACCCACAGCTAAATGATCTCACCTCCCCTCTACAGCAACTGTTATCACTGGCATGACTGTGTCGAGTTCAAAACTACAAATATATCCATATGGAAAAGTGACAACAGAGATGTTCCTGTATTTGGTATAATAAATTTTAAATTTGTGAATATATGTCTTGTCTATATGTAGTCAGTGAGAAAGACGAAGTTGGTGTGTGTCAGTGAAGACAACAGCACAAAACCTATTTTTGAAGTCATTTATTTCGCAAAAAAGTGAACAGGTAAGTGTTTTTCCATCGTGTGGCCAGAAGAGGGCGGAGTTGTATGTTTTTATGTTTTATTTTGAGTTACGCCACAGCAAAGTACAACGGAAAATATTGTGGTATTTTTCTTGTATTTATTTTTTCCTACTAACCACATTTAGTTTGCATACGTGTTTGAAATGACACCACCAGAATCACGGTTCTTGTACTTTTTCTTTACACAGATGACACTGATTATTGTTATCACCAACATAACTCCCAATACTGACAGGGACGACGCCAGAGCGAGGATGGTTTTGTCCATGAGTGAGCCCTTGCGCTCACATCTGTCTCCGTAATACCACCAGTCTTTCCCCACCACACATCTGAAAAAATAAAAGTACAGATTAAGACGGTAGAGGTAAAGGTATCTTCAAAATTAGTTATATTGGAGGATTAAAGTTCAAAGTCCATTTTATTTACTGAACGACTCTCGTCGTTGTCCAGATGTTCTGTTTGAAGCATCTAAGCAGTAAACTAAAGACAGATGCTAGAAAAAGCTACAGACATTCATCTGATAGAAATAAGACCAGAATTGTAAAAAAAAAAAAAAAACAGTCAGTTGTTCTGCAAAAGTACGCAACAGTTAAGACTGATCTGACCACCAGTTTGTGTCTGTTGATGTTTGAGATGAATACCTGCAAGAAGGTATTCCTTCGTCCATTACACACACTCCGTCGTTCAGACACTCCACACTGGAGCAGTTGTTATTGGATGAAGGAGTGGTGACAGGATGTACTGTTGTGGCAGGCGTTGGCTGGCTCTCAGTCAAATGAGACACATCTGAAAAAGCAGCAGTGTACTTTATAAGTAAACCCTGATTTAACTCTTGATGCAGAATTCCACATTAATATTGCTTTAACACATAACTTAAGATTTTAATGGTTAATTCTCTGTGGATCTTTCCACACACACACAGTTGTCGGACTTTGTGAGCTTACCTTCCATGGATAATAAAAATATTGCGTCTCCGTTCTTTATAAAGTCCCTGCTTCTGGCTCTGAGATGTGTGAGATACACTGGGGTTCCAGCACGTGGGCCCTGGAAATACTTTAATCCATCGGGGGCTGTGACTTCGGGACCCACCTTGCGAGGGTCATCCCAGAAAAAATTGTCTGAAGAAAAAGTATATTTAATATACATAAACAATATTTAAATGTTGTATTTTATAAAACTAAACAGAGATGAAATGTAAATGTTTGACCTGTTTCTGTTATTTTCCGGTTGGGATCAGTGGTCACGCTACGCTGGTTGTTCATGCGCTTTTGAATGTGTGGGTTCTGGTCCATCAGCATCATGGTCATCTGTTTCCATGGGCAGGGCCATATCTGGCCTGTTTCTCCTTCAAGAGCTACAAGGTTAGCGTAGACTGCGATCTCCCCAGGATTGCTTTCTACTCCATTTGGGAACAACTGCATTTGGAAAGAGTACCCCTCCTTCGAAGTAAATGGTGGACTGTAGATAGGCTTCTCTGTGGGGGTGGTAGTCATCAATTCACTGAAGTTCTTTACACGCCACACGAACTCTGGGCAGGTTGTCTCAGAAATGTTTATGTCATCCAGTGAGAGTCCCCCTCCCTCTGTCGTCCCAGTCCCTTCCTTGGACCCCTCAAATACAACACGAAATTTAGTTTTAACGTCCAGACTGACATGATGGAGCTGCCACAGCCTCTCAGGAGCAGCTGTTAGCAAACATAAAATACAGTGGAGAATTATTTATCTCATTTATCCCATTACCATTGCTACTTAGCACTGGCTTTTACAGCAGTAATACTCACAATCTATGGTCTTTATAAAACGCAGTGTTCCGTTAGGGTTGGTGCTGTTATACTCTCGAACGTGGATTTTCAGTTTGTCACTGGTTCCTGCACTGTTGTAGTAAAAAAACTGCAGACACTGGTAACCACGTTTGGGGTAAAGAAGTCTGCTTTCAAGCAAAGCTGTGTCTCCAGTGTTGGCAGTGCCAGTGTTGAAGTGCATGAAGTATCCAGAGCCTGAAGATACAAGCGTGCTCAACAAATCTTCATTTTTATTACTTCATTTCATTTACTTTTTGAAAAGCTATAATAACAATTATATTCCATCATCAGCAGGTTATTGGATGAAGATATATATATATATACTGTATATATATATATATATATATACATATATATATATAAATAACAATTAACAATTAAGGACTGATGTTCACCACTGTTCTGTATGTGTTTTGTTTTTGTGAGTTTTATTTGAAGATAAGCTCCAATCTCCTACATGTATGAAGTTCTCTGGACTCCTGTACTCAGACGACTTCTTCCTCTGTCCAGCATACTGTCCTCCAGCGCCTGTCTTTTTACAAGTACCAGGATCCTCTCAGCTATCCACTGCTGGAACGTAACTTCGATTCTCTTTACAGTTTTAGTTACGTATGTAAAATGTGAAATAACTCACATTTATTTTTTGCTAATATAAAATTATTTTCTCACTGTCTTGTCTTATTGGCTGCACTGTACGGTGATGTTCTGAAGGGCCCTAAGACATTAAATGTAGTTTTACTTCTTATAATAATAATAATAATTATTATTATTTTTATCATCGCTACTTCATACTGTGTCATACAAATTCCAACATTCAGACTTCTCACCATTGCATTTGCCCAGGTTGGAGTAGTCTGTGTCGGGTCCTCCTGTAGCTTTCATTTCCCTTGTCCAATCCTGCTCGTCCCCTGGTCCTTGGATCATACCGCAGATGTTTTCACGTTCAAAGTCACATGAGTCCAAAAAGGTTGAACCCTGAGCTTAAAGGTAGTTAACAAACAAACCTTTATAGTTGAAG